ATAGACAACATAATACAAAACAACCAATATAGGCAACATAATCAAAAATAAACTATAAACAAAAGTACAACATACTGACACATAATACAAAATAAACATTATAACCATGGCTTTGATGATGATTAAACACAATACGAAATAAACAATAAACACAAAAGTTAAGCAGACAGACCCACGATACAAAAAATATAAACAAAAGTACATCGCAAAAGGCACCTTAGGGATAATGATCATGGCCTTGAGATTGCTCTTGTAAACCGTTGCGATGATGAAGGCGGCGAGAAGCCACGCCCCGCCCAGCACCCTGCCGGTCATGCTGCGCGGGAACCACCACATGGCTAGAAAATAATAATGATTGTTTTGTTTCTTCTTTAGTTGTCTCTAAATCAGATTTAGTGGTGATGTTGGCCTATGATTTGAAGGTATGTGCGTCCGAAGGTGTTCTCGGACCAAATGCCCGAAAGTGCGTTTGTTGAATGTTTTGTATATACTCGTCTGTAGCATAAGCATTGTGGCGGATGTTCACCTTATGGCACTCTATCTATGGACAGGTAATGCATTAACGTTAGCATATCGAAGAAAGTCTGAGGAAGGCTTTGGACGCGCAAATATAGATTCATGTATTTTAGAGATTCATGGCACGGAAAATGAAGGTGTACATCCATGTTTCTCGTAGAAAAATCTGTACACAAACCTAGTTTAGATCTCTGTGGATCATATTATAAACACGGCAGAATGGTTTATCATTTATGTTTTATGTGTATATATATATGTATATATATACATATATATACTTATATACACAAACGCACACACGCACACGCACACACAAATACACACACACACACACGCACATACACACACACACACACACACACACACACACACACACACACACACACATATATATATATATGTGTGTGTGTGTGTGTGTGTGTGGTGTGTGTGTGTATATATATATATATATATATATATATATATATATATATATATATATATATAATATGTATATATATTCTTCCTGGTTGTCTTCATTCACTTCTTGTTCTTCTTCTTCTCCATCTTTCCTCCACACAGTGTACCTACCCCCCCCCCCCCCCCGCGCCGAATACTCACACTGCGTTATCATGACGCCATATGTCCATAGGAACGCCCGCCCCGTCCTGTCAGAGTAACCGTGCTGAGGGAAATCACGTTGCCAGGGTGCCGGAGCAATGGTGCCAGAGGTCGGCGACGGTGCCAAGGTGCCAAAGAGTCGGGCGCGAAGGAGGAGGAGGAGGAAAGTCGATCCCAGGACCAGCAAGCTTATGAGGAACAGGAGGATCCATATCTGTGGAGACCCGGATGTGGGTTTTAATGGTGTTATTTTTTCTCCTTTGTGTTGTGTTTGTGTGTGCGTGTGTGTGTGTTGTGTGTTGTGTGTGTGTGTGTGCGTTTTGCAACAGTGACATTCACAATCATGCAGATATAATGGTGTGCTTGATATATAATTAGAAATAATGACAGGTAGAGAGAGAAAGAAAGAGAGAGAGACAGAGAGAGGGGAAGCAAAGATAGTTCGAGGAAGTGAAAAAAGAAAGAAGAGAATACAAAGAAAAAGATAAACATCGACATAAACAATTATACATTATGATCAACAAATCTCAATCCTATTCTTATCAAACGAACATGAACACCACAGTCATCACAGCAACGTAACCACAGTCATCGCAGTCATCACAACCACCGTAATCATCTCAATCATCACACTCATTACAAATATTCCAATTTCAGTCATCACAACCACCATAATCATCACTATCATCCCAATCACTACAAATATCCCAATCTCAGTCATCACAACGAACCTAAATCCTCACAATCATAAAACTATCTCCCACTCATCACGATCACCGAGGGGCATTACACTTTGGAAATATCATACATTATGCGCTAAAAAAAAAAAAAAAAAAAAAAAAAAATCCAGAAATCCTCAAGAAATTCTTTGGAAATCGGCAAATCTCCAGGAAATCCCATGAATCCTAAAATCTCGCAAGGGTTCCACTCGAGGCAAAACTTGCAGAATCTTGATAATAGTATTAAAAATGTCTTTCAAGATCAGTAAAAAAAATTGCCATAATCTTCGACAAACGCCTGAGCAGCTGAGAGTCGCTGATGAACACTGAGCCAAGATCTTTCCCGCAATTTTTCAGAAACGATCGCTCCTTTTGAAATGCTCGCGATTTCAGGTTATTGTGGATATTTGTGGAAGTGAGTTGGTGCGAACGATACCCAAATAGTTAATCGCGAGGTTAATCCATCAGATTATGGCCAAAGCGAGAAATCGAGAATTTTTTGTCTGAAGGGTTACAGTAATAGATGCCAAATGGGGTAAAGGGGTCAAGTAACAATTAACAGCTTAGTTTTGAAACATATACGATGATTTAATGGCTTTTGGATACCATTGAAAACTTTGGAACTCTCTAAGAAATTCCTCAAAATCCGAAAATCCTTTACAAATCTCTCTGGAAATCTGGATGTCCCGATAAAAAAGAATTGGGATTTCGGAAATCCCGGAAATC